ATTAAGCTCTGTTGTAAGTCTTGTGGTGGTTGTAACTGAAGATCGCATTGAACTTGACAGTGAACCTGATTATCGCTACAGCGTTCGGTGGTACAGCTGCCACCTTCATCCTTGACTTTGTTGTCGTCCCGCTGAGTGTTCTGGTTATGTGAGGTCGGTCCATTGTTCTGTGCATTTTGATGATTCTGCATTTGGTGATGAGATTGCTGCTGCTGTTGCTGCTGCTGCTGCGGCTGCTGTTGCTGCTGCTGGTGCAGCTGCTGCTGTTGAGCCTGCATTTGTTGTTGCATTTGCGCGTGTGCTGCCTGTAAGTGACTAACGCTCGCCGGGATATGCGCCCCGTCTAGATTAAGGCCAGGAAGAGAAACTGGAATCTGCTAATAACAAAAGACAAATAATAGGTTATTAAAAAGTTATCAAAATGTCACAGTTGTTCTTGATGTAATGTTTTTATTATTTTTTTTTTTTCTTCTTTTTCTTTCTTTCCTTCTTCTTTTATTTTACTTTATTTTATTTTATTTTCTTTTTTTTTTTTAATACTCAGTATTCCAATCGTCTGTAATATTTCATCAAGTACTACTGTCAAATGAGCATTGTCTGACATATATTATATAGATTAACGAATATTATTTAAAATTTTAAGAGCTACTCACAAGCTGCTATATACCGAAATATAAGAATATTGCGTCGAAAGTAAGAAAGTAGGAAGTGAAAGGTGGAAATAGGATGGGAAATGGAGAAAGAGAACATTATGGCAAAAGCAAAGAAAATTTGCCGAAGATAGTAGACCGTTAACTCAAAGGCCGCTTTACTCATTTGGCATTATGTATATCTTTTCCACCTACTCACATTTCCATAAAGATACGCGCAAGGTACTATGTTACTGCAACTCCTGCAAAGGCAGACTCTAATACTCTGCTATGATAGTTCATAAGCCACATTCGATCTTCGAGTATAGCGTGCTTCTACGCAAACAAACCTGAGAGTTGGACTGCATAGAGCCATGATGGTTGCTACTGCTAACTGAAGGTTGATGGTGATGATGTGCCGACTGAGAGGTTGACTGATGATGAGAGCTGGAGTTCAATGCCATTTCCTGATTCAAGGAGGAGGCTGGCTCTTTGGAGGATGCCTCCCCACTTCCACCGCTCCTATGAGAGGAGTTGTGGTGGGAATGGTGGTAGACCGAGACCTGAGGTAGCGGTCCGGGAAACAGATTGGTCAGGACCCAATACTTAGCTACCGAGGAGGCTAACGCTACGGCTGTACCTACACGCAGGTCCGCGGATGAATGAGGGGTATTCCCCACATTGCCAAGGCCAGTAGAAGTAGCCAAACCACCTGGGTATGAAGGACGACCACTTTGACCCGCGTTTACATCCTACCGATATACATTCAGACATTTGTACAACATCAATAGGGCATGCAACGGCATGCACCAGGCTCGATTCCAATCGACAAGTGCGCCAATAAGGATTAAGTCCTCCCAAAGAGTCTAGGCTCAAGCATTATAGATCGGTTAATATTTACCTAAATACAAGATAGATATTTATTTGTCTTAATGAACATGTTTCAACATTTAGGAAGAAAATTCTGATTATCTCAAGAATATAGATAAATGTGTTGCGAAGATTGGCTGTAATAGAATATTTACTTGTAGAACATTGAATCTGAATGTTAAATTATTATATTTAACATGTTACTTAGAAAACGAATAAGATATAGATAAATATATTCATATACGGATATATATATATATACACACACACATATATATATATATACACGTTCATAGAATACCAAAAATATATTCATATAAATGTAAACTGTCATCTACTTTTGTTAGTAAATAAAATATAAGTTTGCGTAACTAGTTTTGAAATGAGAGTACAAGATAGACAGAGAGCACGTAAGTCTTGAATAGTAAAGTAATGCGACAATAAATATGACACATATCTTCTTAACGTTGAAGAATACCTAATAAGATATATCTTTAAACACAAACAATATTTCCATCGCGCAATTGTAGCTTGGTAAGTAGCCTGCATACGTTTAAAAATATTCTCACCTCTTGTTGAGCCTGCGTAGTCGCTGGCAACGCATGCTGCTCGCTGTTCATCTTCGTTCACTGAAGGCTACCAATTAAGTGCTTCTGACATAATTCACTTTTCATCCTGCAGAACACATGACTCGAATTTAAATCTTAACTTCAATAACCCCTATTGGAACTATCGAAATTAAAAAAAAAAAAAAAAGAGAGAAAAAAAGAAAAAAAAAGAAAAAAAAAAAAGAAAAAAAAAGAACTATCTTTATAAAGCTTCTTAATGTCGCTCGAGTCGCGTCATTTCCTTACGAATGCCATAACGTCTCAGCACGTAAAAATCCCTCGTTATAACTACTAGATTTCATGAGGAATAATATAAGAGTCTAACATTAAATCGGTAGGATTTGTATTGGAAATCGAAGAAAAACCAAGTGTCACAACGTTTAACCTCGAAAATGGTCGATTCCAGCGTATAATACTCGGTCGGCTATGAGAAAATCGCGGACGTCATCGCTCTATGTGGAAATTTTCCGATACGCGCGATCCGACGTGGCGATCGATCGGAGTAAACACGAAAGTAGCCACGAAAAAGGCGATCCTCGCGAATTAAATCGATCACGTCTTCTTAACCTCCAGAAATTTTTTTTTATTCGACGAAGCGGGAAATGGGTGAGTCATCGGCTAGCATCTTCGGGAGCGTGACAAAGGGGCCGCGTAAAAGCGATGAAGAAAGCGGCCTGCGTTTCAGCGGCAACGACAACGGCAACGACAACGGCAACGGCAGAAGCACCTCGTACGAGTACGCAGCTGTGCTTCAATGTCGGCCACGATCAACCGGCGTAGAATTCCCCGCGCTCGAAGGAATCTCCGCGTTTACCATCTTCTGGTTAGTATCGCACATATGACGCGTGAATTATATTGTCGCTCGGTAGAGAGAACGTGGAACGGGGACAAGGGGCCACAAGATGGTGGTGACACAAGATTCGGGGGCAAGGGAATGTACCTGTATGTGCATCGTAACGAGTGGGGGGAGGGGAGGGAGGAGAGAGAGAGGGAGGGGGAGAGAGAGAGAGAAGGCGGGGAAGAGAAATAAAAAAGAGATATCTATACTGTATATATATATATATATATACATATCATATATATATATATATATAGGTTTATACAAAAGAGAGAAAGAGAGAGAGAAAGGAGACTATGCGTAGAAAGAGATAGAGAGAGAGAGAGAGAGAGAGAGAGAGAGAAAGAGATAGAAAGATGGAGGCAAAGAAACGAGGCGCAGCGAGTTCTTTGACCAGGGCCAGAACCACACCGAGTATCAAAGTTACCTTCGTAATAGAGCTTAGAGAATTGGACTCACGTGGTAAAGGATGCCGTCGGCGGTTCAGGCATCTCGCTCTTACGGCCTTAGGCCGTCCCGTGCACGGGGAGACGCGCGTCCCGACGCAGGGGGGACGCCTTTCGCCGCCTCTCGACGTCTCACCTCGCCACGGATACCCACAAGCAAATCCTCGATAATGGCCACGCTCCCTCGCCCTCCGCTTCAACAATATCATCCAAGTGTACGCCGTCGAGAACGGAATAACGGAGGACCAAATTCGGCCCTGTTCGACTCCGACGTGCCACGTAATTTCACGAAAATCTTGGGAAGTGCCTACGTGCTCGCGGTTAACAGAAAATACGACGACTGTCATGGCGTCCCTCGCCCACCCCGCAGGAACTTACGCGCTCGGTGCGTCCGAAGGACGCGCCATACCGAATTAACTCTTATGAGAAAATTTCCCGGCCAATCTATTCTACGTCGATCAAAACGAATTCCTATGCATTTTGAAACGATGAATCTTAGTATAATTTCGAAAATATCTAAATCTAATGTCTCGAGTACCCTTTGTCGTATCGTCGTTGTTGCGCGCGCAACATCCGCTTGCGCGCGCATCGGCTATACTTCCTGTAGAGATTGAACCGCCAAACCAAAATTCTGGATGACGATGAAAAATTCTTCACACCCGATCGATCGTCCCCGCTAAGCTGTGTGCCTTCCTCCTTGCGTACTAATGTACCGTTATATCCCATACTCGTTTCGCATATGTTTTCTCTTTTTCTTTTTTTTTTGTTCCTCCTCTTTTTTTCTTTTCTATCTTCGTGATATATATATATATATATATATATATATATATAGGTAATGAAAGCACGATCAATTAGTACTATGGATATAACACATGTACGTCGATGACAGTACGTAAGCACGACTGATTTAAATATGCATTTACCGGAAGTCGATTTAACTATCTTTTTTGCAAAGACGCCCTCGGATTGGTTAAAAATCAATGATGTATTCTAACGAACCAATTACATCGTGTTTCATAAAAAGTACTTGACTGTAGATGGTGTTCCAGTTGTTACTTATTTCTGGAATACATAGATTCATCTATACTTATATAATTATAGCGTTACAGTCGGTAAGTGCGTTGATTTCTTTATGGACGATATTAATATGGCGGATACTTGATAAGTTTTTTTTCTGCTTTTATTTTTTTAGAGGTTACCGACAGAGGCAGCACTGGCGTTCGACTACAGGCACGCTAAAAAATCGATAATTCTTCTTAACGTTAGTCTTATTCGATTTATATCGCTTATTATTTGGAGATATAAATTTGTACAATTAATTTTTTCTTTCTTTTTTTCATAAAATCAAATCAATTTTTTTATATTTGTAATAAATACGATTTCATGAATCACGTGGTAAAACAGACTAAATTTAATTATACGATAAACGTGATTAAAGATTTTGAGGGGAAAAAAAGAAAGGGAAATATAACGTGTGTGAAAAATTATTGTACTTAGATTAATATAAAAAGAAAGAAAATATTTAGAATACGCCATTTTTTTTATAGACCTTTTTTTTTATTTTACCTCATTTTATTTCGTCGAATTAACGTAATGCCTTCTTTTATTTTTTTTTCTTAAATGCGAGAGTATGTTTTATATATTTGTTGTATTTTCTTAAATTTATTACTAAAAATATTCATCGGTATTTACACTTACATTTACAAAGATTTGTACAAGAATCGATTTGGCCAGACACAAATATGGAATGATATGAATTACTTAAATAATCACATACATATTTCCATTCATTCGTAGAATGCTTTAAAAATTGTAGACAAAGGTGAACAAAAATTTTTCATTGATAAAGATTAAAATATTTATAAATTATCAATTATAATCTGCCTTATAATCTTTTTTCTATTTTTAATTTTTTTTTTTTCTTTTTTTCAAAAATCACTCTCGTCGACAATTTCCAAAGTATTGAGAAAAAACATACACACAAATAATAGAATATTCGAAATTTGTATGATTGACATTTCTTTGTGCATAATGATTATTAATTTTTCATTATATATCTGAGTTTTTCATAATAAGAAAGAGAAATGATTCGAATCACTTTAAATTATTAATTTTCTTTCTTTTTTTTTTTTTCTTTTTGTTTAATAATTCTTAATATTTATATTAAGAAATAAAATTCATAAATGATCGGATATATTCAATTCATAATCATCGAAATAAATTTACAATTAGAGGTCACCTAATTTAGAGCGACAACAAATTGAGAAAAAAAAAAAAAAAAGAAAACCACATTAAGACGTTGACTAGTATGTTAATATATACAATAATTGTTAATAAACATGTACAACAACTTGATCGTTAAATAAAATTGAATATTTATACATAACTTCCTTATAGTTATTTGGTGTCACTGTAAATTTCTCCTCTCATTATACTATAACTGGATATGTTTAATAACTTTGATAATAAGGATTCATACTTTCGATAAATCGGGAAAATGTTATAGATCGTTGATATGAATGATGTGTATCGTGCATTAAAAGCAGGATAAAATTTTGTCGCGTTAAAGCTGAAACGTTATGGTATCTGTGATTTTTATAATTGAATATTTTCATAGGTACGACGTTTCATATTGATATTATACAATATCGATATAAACATGTTTATAATTCGGTAGTTATTTCATCCTGTGGCCTGAAGCCAAGGATCGTGAAATCATCTATGAGGTAGTCGCAATCGGGTAATCTATCGGACAATATGGTATAGTTGGCAGCTTCTACAGCGCTTTGAAATTCCCATTGAGGATTAATTTCTCGATCGAGAACGCTCGTTTCACGACCATTAGATCCACGATTGATATCTGGTAACGTAGCACCGCCATTATGATTATTGAACACCGAAATGGCTAATTCCTGAAAATGCGATCCGTTTGATTTCAGCCTTTTTTGGGTGCCGAATACCAAAGGAGTCATCTGTCCCATCGTAGACTCGTTTCGAGTGAGTTTGTCGTGATAGGGCATGGAACTGTTTTGTCCTAAGCTCGAACCAAGTGGACTATCCTTGGCATATCCTAAACTCGAACTTGCCGGACTAATACTGGACTTGTCGCTCGCTTGAAAAGTGGCGAGTGGTAAGTTCGCTTGAAAAGTTGTGAGATTGGTTGGCGTACTTCTAGGTTCAAATGTTTGAGACGGCGGAGTTATCACAACCGACTCCGTTGGATTCGTTTGGACGGACGTTGTTGGATGCTGCAGGAATGTCACGAGTTGAGCCACCTTTAAAAGTAAAATAACACGTTAAAATAAGATCTACCGATTTGAGAACATCTCTTTCTACTGTCATATATATATATATATTTTTTTTTTTTCTAACATAATGTTTCTAACTAATACTTGCTTCTAACACGTATTATCTACGAACTACTTTTTTTCAAAATTCATGTAACTCACCGAAATGCTTAAGAGACTGCCATGAAAAAAAGAAAGATTAAAGAAGAAATTGAGAAAGAGAAAGAGCGAGAGAGAGAGAGAGAGAGAGAGAGAGGAGAGACAGAGAGAAAAAAGAGATAGATAGATAGATAGATAGATAGATAGATAGATAGACAGATAGATAGATAGATAGATAGAGAAAGAGAGAGAAAGAGAGAATCGCGTTTTTTGATTTAGTAAATGTCATCGTTAAAAAATTGTCAACTCACTTCTGGGCTACTGTGTCGCTTGTACCTTCTGAGTAAACGTTCTGCCCAAGATAATAATCTCTGCCAGTCATCGGGAGGTAACTGTATATCCTCGTCCTTTCTGTTAACAAGGACTAATATCCTTGCGAGGTCGCGAAGAACGGGTCTAATTGTAGGGGTATTAATCATAATTTATCGTTAATCGAGTAATCTATTCGAGTAGCTTAACATTATTATTTTAATTAAATATACGAAATTATAAAGGGGAAGACTCGTAAATGGTCGTTACCTGTACGCTTGAATGCCAACGGCGCCATCCCCGTTACTTCCGGAGTAATATAATTCTCTAACTTGTCTTCTTGTGTCGTTTAGCATGGAAAGGAAAGTGTGTCCCTCGCCTCTTAACGTTGCAAGATGCTTCAGGAATTCTCCTCTCTCAGCACTGTAAGAAAAAATCCATTAAATGTATACGTATATATATTATATATATATATATATATATATATATATATATATATATATGATACATATAAAATGAAATATTTTCTAATAACGATATTAATAATAAATTTAATTCTTCATGCATACTTGTTAAAAATATATAAATAATAAATAAAAATGAGAAAATTGTTTACTTTTATATTCGTAAAAAAAAAAAAGAAAAAGAAAAAGAAAAAGAAAAAATTCAATTTATAATCCACCTGTTCTCAAATTGCCGAACGATCTTCGTCGCCTTTTTTTTCTTTCTATGAACGATAATTGCGCCGCATAGTACGATGAAGACACATATGGTTGCACCGGAGACAACTCCCACCAAGATAGCGACCTGACTACCGGTCAGCCCAAAGATGTAACCAGTCTCTTTACAAACTCTGCCCATATATTCATCTCTTGTCGACCAGTCGGCTGTGTGACCAGGTGGACAGCTATCGACACAGGTTCCTTTGTGTAATAGGACAGCACATCTCGCGCACGTGTCACCTCTGCATCTTTTGCATCCTCCTGGATCTTCGACGCATCCTAGAAAAAACAAACAAAAGGAAAGAAAAAAAAAAGAGTAAAGAAACCAAAGGGAAGGAGATTAATTTCCAAAAAAAAAAAAAAAAAAAAAAAAAAAAAGAAAAAAGAGGAAGAAAAAGAAACAGAAATAAAAAGAAAAATCGACTATAATATAGAATTTGCCCTCTTTCAATAATTTTCACAAAACGAAAATAAATCTTTGGTAGGAAAAAGACAAGAAAGTCTTATAGTAGATATACACAACACCCACACATGTATATATATATATATATATATATATATATATATATATAGGTATATCTATCGGAACATGTGAAAACTCTCTCTCTCTCTCTCTCTCTCTCTCTCTCTCTCTCTCTCTCTCTCTCTCTTTCTTTCTCTCTCTAAAGTTAATCGTTCCATCGTTTCGAATAACCGATCATCCATCGTAACTTTCAACAACGAATTTCAAGTAACAGAAACATTCGAAATAGGAACGTGACACCCGGCGAATTCCAAGCAAGAAGTAGCTCTAACTTCTTGGACCTTACACTAACACCGAGCGTTGATCCATAGCCTCGAGTCATGCCTTGATTGCTTGACACACATACTGGTGCACCTACCGAAGTCACGCTCAGCAATACTCGTTTTGCGATATTGTTGATAACGAATACGACTTATAACGGCCTCTCTGACAGTCTATAACTAAAAAGGAAAAAAAAAAGAAGAGAAAAAAAAAAGGAAGAAGGAAAAAAAAAGTAGAGCAAATTATGTACTTTTTGTGAGTACCTAAACGTCTCAAGTAGATAGGTATGTAGTACACATAACTACATAGTTGGTATATATCTATTTGTTCTTTCCTCTCTCTCTCTCTCTCTCTCTCTCTCTCTCTCTCTCTCTCTCTCTCTCTCTCTCTCTCTCTTTTTTTTCTTTCATCGACAAAAAGAAGAACAAACGTTGTAAAAAGAGGAACGTTTTAAAAAAAAAACGACGTCTTGTCGAAAGTCAAGAGACTTGTCTTACGACGACGACGACGACGATAACGATGATGACGACGACGACTACGACGACGAAGATTCGATGTGTTGTACCAGTTAGCAAACGTATGAGGAATCCGGTTGGCACTTTCCGGATTACGTGGGTCTTTTCTACCGAACTCTCTGACTGCGTTCTGTGTTCCGCTTGTTACTCTCGTGAACACACACGCAATGTGAACGACTGATGGTTAAATACCTAGTAGGTATATAACATTCTCCAGGTTGAGAACACCCGAGTTATATGGGGCCTCTTTCCTTCTCTCATACTTTTAACACGCATACAGTGAGAGAGAGAGAGAGAGAGAGAGAGAGAGAAAGAGAGACTACTTTTCTAACTATTTGCTTTATCGTTCACATTCACTCGATCTAAGTCGACAAGAAACTTACCAAATTTTTCATCGACTCTACCTGGAAGAATCTCTATTTGTTCTTTCTACCTTTCTTCTTTTCTTTCCCTTTTTTTTTCTTTTCTATTCCTTTTTCTTCTCTCTCTCTCTAACTCTCTCTCTCTTTCTCTCCCTCTCCCTCTCTCTTTCTCTCCCTCTCCCTCTCTCTTTCTCTCCCTCTCCCTCTCTCTTTCTTCTTTCATATATGTTTAGGTTCTTTCAATATGTTCCATTTGTAACATCTAAAAAAAAAATGACATTTTCGTTGGTGCGGAAAGATCGACGTTTAAAAAATTCTTAAGACCATGAATCATTGCATGAAAAGAATTCAATTTATTTGAAAAGTATATCTACTAGCACATATATACATATATACATATATGCACATCACCACCACCGCCATCACCGCCATCATCATCACCACACATTCTGAATGTCAAGTTCAAAGAGAAAATCTCGAAACTTAGTCTCACTCGTCGCATTTCACTTTGGAAGGCCTCATTGCATCTTCGTTTTTAAGGTCATTGACCCCGAATCATAACGAAGTACCGTCGTCGTAGTCGTCGTTGTATTCGTCGTCGTTGTCGTCGTCAGTTCGTGTCTGTTTCTTTTGCGTGCATCGATGACGTTCGCTTTTAAGAGAGCACATTCGGTTAATTAGTGGATCAAAGGTCAGGGATAACGCGATGATTCTGCTAGCTGAAACGATCTACGGAAGCTGTATATCTATTCGTTTCTCTCTCTCTCTCTCACTCTCTCTCTCTCTCTCTCTCCCTCCCTCCCTCTCGCCCTCTCTCTTTCTCTTTCTCTTTCTCTCATCTCCTTTCCTGTGCTTCTTCTTCGTTTTATTTTTCTTCGATCCTATCCATATGGAAGGAAATATATACACGACTTTAAAATTGTGTTCGTAAGCACGTGTGTGAGTGCGTGCGTGTACGCGCACGTGTGACTGGCGATGCGTTGTTTCAAGCACGCTCTTGTAACTATCGATAATATAAACTTCCTACGTTTCAATTCCCAGATACGTCAAGTAGTTCATAAAAATAACGCGTTTAATCTCGTCATAATAAAGAAATAATTAAAGATAAAAAAAAAAAAAAAAAAAAAGAGAAGAAAAAAAGAACATTTCGATACGGATGTTATAATTATTCTTTAACAAAGTCACCATTGTTTATTTGACACGGTACGAATTAAATATTAATATATTATTGGTTTTGTTCCAAAATTAATTGAATATCGATTATTTGATATATCATAGATATTAGAAATTTTCATTTAAATTCAAAAATCAATTGTAATCTTTAAACTATTAAAATCATATTAATTGTTTTTATCGATCATTAAAACTTCGTTACAAAACTTTTGTTATAAAATTTCCAAATTGATACGTCTTAATAATAATAATAATAATAATAATAATAATAATAATAATAATAATAATAATAATAATTTATTAAATATAATCAATTCATTTACATAAAGGTAAATAAAATGATCTATATTATTAAAATTATACTTGTTAATATTGATCATTAACTTAATAACAAAGCTGAATATCCTAAAATTAATATCTCACAACAACAACAAAATAATAATAATAAATAAATAATAATAATAATTTAATAATATCGTATAAATACATATAACAAATAATATATATATATATATATATACTCGACATTGGAGTTTAAATTTTGTTTCGAACGAAATAAAGATCCCTTGGTGTAATGGAGTGTATATAGATGCCATATGTCTCCATGGTGTGCAAGCCAGACGATATTTCACGAAAACGTGTGTGGCACACGAGCGGCGTGTGGCGTAACGGACAAGTGCATAAATTCAATGCAGGAGAATAAACGAAGTTTGCAGGCTTTACGAGTTAACTACCAAGAGACAGAGAAAGAAAGAAGAAGGGTTTGAGAATACCACTACTAAACTCCGAAGAAAGAGAAAATATTCAATAGAAAGATCTCATTTCTTCCATTGAAAGCTCGTAAAAAATTTTCTTTAAGTGATTTACTGACATTCAATAAGTGCACTCACACACACTCAAACACATACACACACACGCACGCACGCACACATTTATTTATAATTTCGTTATCGTTATATTAAAAAAAAAAATTCTTCAAATCCTTATCTCAATTTATGGAAAATTACAAACTAGCTTCTTTCCTTTATTATTTTCATTGTTATTCGAGATATTCAATGACGCACAAGAAGAACGGTCAGGGGTTGCTGCTACACTGTATTTCTTCTTATCTCTTCTTTTTTTATTCTCATACGATTGATTGCCACATATTTTAGTTTTCAAGATGTCTCGTTTATTCATTGTTCACTCTTTCTCTCACACCCTCTCTCTCTCTCTCTCTCTCTCTCTCTCTTTTTCTCTTGGATGTCATATCAACAGAAAGGTCGATAGATAACCGGTATTATGAATAGTTAAAGTCCGATGGTCATCGACAAACTCTTGTCAAAATAGAGAAAATACATTATTATGATTGATTAATAAAGATAAATTATATATAGAGTGAACTAAAAGTTCTTAGTTCGTGATCTATTAAGAAACGATTATTTTAACGAGTCATTTAATTTTATTATTTGTTTTTTTTTTCTATTTCCTTTATCAGATTGTTTACAAGAAGTTCTTAGATTTGTAGATTTACGATGTGGAAACAAGAACAAAAAAAAAAAAAAGAAAAAGAAATCGAAAAGAAACAAACAAACATTAGCCTTAAAAAGTCTACGAAAAAGAAGTGATTGATTTTTAAAATCACTAGTCTAAGTACTTTTAATTCATGCTGTAGATAATAACGAGATTATAGATTGTAATAATAACCGTCAGGGTATAATAATAATAATAATAATAATAATAATAATAATAATAATAATAATAATAATAATAATAATAATAATAATATTAGTAATATTAATAAATGATTTATATTATCGTCAATTTTAAACAATTAGAGCAACATAATTGCATGGTTGAAGATTATAGAGATAGAGATGAGATCGAGGAAGTCGGATTTTAATTAAACAGCTGTTTTCTAAATCACGGCTAAAATTCAAGAGATATGGGTCCAGTAAACAGAGTGTTCCAGATGTTCATATTCTCTACTTTCAATGTTATTTTATTTGTTTCCATTTCTTCTTTTTTTTTCTTTTTCTTTTTCTTTTTTAGATTAATACAATATAATATCTGGCTGATTCGAATAGATAATAAATAGGAACGTTTGTGATTTCTCGTTAATTGATAAATATCATCGTTATCGTTATTATAACTTCATAACAAAAATAAACCATAACACCGGCATGGTTACTTTACTATATATTATATATATACATAAATGGGTATGTGTGTTTATATATATATATATATATAAATCGTTGGAGAAACGTGCCAAGGAGATATTGTCAAGGAAAAGGCGCACCTACATCGAACGAATTAGAAAGCATCGTGATTTAGCTTATTAACGCTCATACGTTCCGGCTTTTCCGATCGATAGGTATGTACATATGTAAATATATACTTTCGTGTATATTTGCATGTTCGTTGAACCTGATCAGAACGAAAAGTATGCGCTCCAATTTCTTTTTCGTTTAACGCACACCTTTCACCAAAAAATTCAGCGACGATATAATAATGTTTAAAAAAAGAAAAAAAAAAGAAAAAAAAAAAAAAAAAGAAAAAGAAAAAAAGGAAAAAGAAAAAAAAAAGAAAGAAAAAAAGAAAAAAAAAGAAATAATTTATTTATTCCAAAAACGTAAAATAATACTGATCGTTTGTTTCTCTAAGAAATAGAGGATTCAGTATGCTTTTAACGGTTAAGGTGCGATGCAGGTGAGCCCATATATAAACGTTGCAGTTGTCGATATATGCCATAGTAGCACGTGCAAGTAGGTATGCACTTTTATCTTCCTTTCTTCCTTTTACCCTCTTCTTCCGTCTAAAGAAGGATGACCTCTCCTCCGCAGTTTTCTTCCGTCTCTCTCTCTCTCTCTCTCTCTCTCTCTCTCTCTCTCTCTCTTTCTCTCTCCTCACGTCCTCAAAATCTCGAAACCCAAATCCCTCTATGCGGAAGTGGTCCTTCTTCTTTGAACTTAT